GCCTGGAAAGGACTCATTTGTCCATAACAGTTCTGAATGCCATTTTGGAATGTGTCCTCTACATGTTAATATCACACATTTCGTCATTTTTTTTACTTGTGTAGTACATTTTCATCCCCCCTTCCTTGAAGCAGCTCAGGGCAGAGTTCTTTTTTCCCCTTCACTATTTTATCCTTGCAAACCCGTTAGGTAAGTTAGAGTGTGACTAGCCTAAGATCACTCACTGAAGATCCTAGGCAACCCTATCCACTTTGCCATATCAACTCTATTTGTGTTGGACCAATTGTTCCACATACTGAACTAATTTTACTATTTATTTCACTGGATTGCTTCACTTTGCAGAACAGAACAATACTTGCCATCTCCTTGGGTAAGCACCTCTCACTTTTAACAGTGAGTTCCACCCTATTCCAGGCACACCTGGGAGATTCCGAAGCAGAAAAGGCCAGCATACACATTTGAGTGGTGGGAGAACATGGCTCATAACTCCAATTCTAAATGTCCTGGAACATGGGAGTTTCAAGATGATCAAAGATGCGCTGCAGAATGCGGGATACATGAAACCATTTGTAAGATGTTACCTTGGTTGGGTGGCCTGATGGTTGTGTCCCCCCTAAATAAAAGTGACCAGGGGGTGTAGCCCACTCAAGCCATCCAGGTTCTTGTGCAAGGAGTGAGCTGACACAGCCACACTCAGCATGGCTGTAGACAGATGGTTAGTTCAGGGAGGCAGTAGAGCCTGCCAATCAGCTGGGTGGCAGGGGTCTTTGTCCTGACAATTGGATGCAGCAAAAAGTGCTGAATGCTCTGGGGCTTTGTGCTGGTTTGGTTGCCTGGACTAAGGTGGACCTGGAAGTGCTGGGTCTCCAGTGAATAGGGGAAGATGGGGGATTCAGCACTGCCTGCAAAAGGAGAGCAGTTTGTGTCAGAGTTCTCTCAGCCCCACCCACCCCACAGGGTGTCTGTTGTGGGGAGGGGAAGGGAAAGGAGTTTGTAAGCCACTCTGAGACTCCAAGTGAAGGGTGGGGTATAAATCCAATCTCTTCTTCTTCTCCTCCTCCCAGGCAAGACTGAGGAGGACTTTCCTGCCAGCTCTTCAGACCCAGAGAAAGACAAGGTCCACATCAAGGCAAAGGAAGGACTGGAAGATCAAGGTGCAAGAGGCTCCTCCCCTCTGGAAGCTGAGGCCTCTGTGAAAAGTTGGGTGGGGCACTAAAGGACACTATTGCCAAGAAGAGAAAACTGGACCCAGCAAAACGTTGTAATTTTGAACCCTGGTCTATGGACCACCACTGTTAGTTAACCAAACTTCTTTGTTCAGAAGCAGTATAGCTCCAATTACAGAACAGACACAAACATCAGAGGTTCTGGTAGATCACTGTTGAAGACAGAATTCTAAGAAATTGATCTTTACAGCCAGGTGGAAGGCAACTTTTAACAGTAACCAAATGATGCACATAGTACTCCATTCCAGATTAATATAATAAAATTGTTTTCTATTTTCAAAGTTGACTTTTCAGTAAGTCTATATATTCATTCTTCAGTTAAAAATAGATAGGAGTCTTGTGATACCTTAAAGACTAAGAAAAATTATTCCAGCATCAGCTTTGTGGACTCTGCGAAACAAATACCTATGCTGCCTGCTGCATGTGAAGATCTCAGCTGACCAAAAAGTGCATTATTTTGAGATGGGGTAGTCATATAAACCCTCCAGGATTTGACACCTAAAGCATGTCATTATTTGGACAGATTGCAGAGCCCATTATTTCTAGAGCCACAAAACCAGGACACGGGGATTTGCTCCACCTTTGTTCCAGACAAATGTTGCTATTTTCTCAGAAGATATCCTGAGCAAATCCTTGCATAAGCAAGCAAAAGAGTTATGTTCTGTGGTCCTTCCCCATCTTTCTGTGGTAGTTAATGGAAAGAGCTGGAAAGCAACTGATAGATAATGCAACAATTAATGTACTCTCTTTGCATAATGAGCAGTGGTGTACCTAGCCTATTTGGAGCCCAGGGCAGATACGTAATTTTTTAACACCACCCTCTATTTTTTTGCCATTAAGTCACAGCTGACTTATGGTGACCTCATAGGGTTTTCAAGGCAAAAGAAATCTGAAGGTGATTTGCCATTGCCTGCCTCCACGTTGGCCCTGCTTAACGTCTGAGATCTGATGAGCCCAGGCTACTCTGGGGGGTATCCAGGTCAGAGCCCCTCCTCTATACATCAAAATTACTTTCATCAATAATCATGAAATAAAATGAATAATAATAATAATCATGGCCAGAAAATAGATTCAGGTGAGTAGCCATGCTGGTCTGAAGCAGCAGAACAAAGTTTGGTCTTAAAGGTGCCACTGGAGCCAAACTTTGTATTCAATGGCCAGAAAAGCTGATAGTGAAAAATTTCTTGTACTTAACTTCATATATATAATCATGATGACAGTAAAAAAATAATAATCCAACATGCTATTCCATTACAAGAGCCAGAGTGGTACAGTGCTTAAAGTGTTGGACTAGGATTTGGGAAATACAGATTCGAATCGTCAATCATGTCATGGAGGTTTGCTGGGTGACATTGGGCCAGTCACATTACTCTTAGCCTAACCTTGACCTGGATAGTCTGATCTCCTCAGAACTCAGAAGCTAAGCAGGGCTGACATGGAGGCAGACAATGGCAAACCACCTCCACACATCTCTTGCCTTCAAAACCCTACAGGGTCACTGTGACCTGATGAAAGAAAGAATTCCATCACACCACTCACATTCTGAGCAGCTACTCGGGATGGCATTGATAATGAACAAGAAGTTTGTATAATATTCCCGTTAGGTTACCTGGATTAGGGGAACTGGAAAGAAGCAACTTCATTCACAAAGCCAGTGTGGTGTAGTAGTTTGACTGGGATCTCGGAGATTCAGGTTCAGAATCCCTACTCTGCCATGAAACCTTGCTGGGTGACCCTGGACTTGTCACTCTCTTGGACTATGAGTTGTTGTGAGGATAAAATAAAGGAGGGGAAGACAATGTTGCAAGTTGCTTTAGATTCCTGACACGGAGAAAAGGGGGTATAGATAGCTAAATGAAAAAATAAATAAAAACTCACTGGAGGAGGCTAGAGGCAATCGAGTGTCCCCCCATCTGACAACTCTGTGCCACTGACCAGAGGCCTTTACACCCTACACTTAGCTTTGTACAAGACTCCAAAATACTGGGTACAACCCCCCCACATGAACCTGAGGAAACTGTTCACTGGTCTGGACTTTTAGGGAAAATTAGCAAGCTCCCCCAATTCCAATTAGTCCAAAGGTAAACCCCTGAAATATGGATATGTAATAAGGGAAACCTTTGGTCAGCTTTCTATGTTGGGTGTGGGGTAGGGTTTGGCTTCCTTTTGCAAGAGAGGCATGACCATTAAAGAAATCTTTTTTGGTTCTTATTTCTTTGTTTTCGTTCCCTGATTCTTCTCATGTTCCTACCTATGTGCACTCAGACTCAGCCATTTAAAACTGGGTCTTTGCTATGAGAGACTTGCTGTGCTTCCTTCTCTTAAGGTTGCTGATCAGTTCACTCTGCTGAGAGTAGGGGTGTGTGCATGGCTGCTGTGAAGAGAAAAGGAACTCACTGAGTTCCCTTCAAGGGCAAGGAAGGTGTTTTCCCTATCATGCAAATGCACGCATGGTCTGTCAGCAGAGATCCAGGATCATCCTGGAAGGTCACATACAGTTAGTTGGTGGGAGTTCTACCCAGGATAAGATTACTTCATGTAGGTGTGAAGAAACAAAAAACTTGCAGGATCAAGGGCCCATATAATGAAGGAAATACAGGGTGAAATGTTATTATATGATTTTCATTTTACACAATTACATCGCACCATGTACTTCCTGCATTTTATGGTCCCTTGTCTATGCAGTTTTTCTGCCCCCATCCCTTCTATATAAAATGCAGTGAGGATCCTTTTGTAATATCTGAAGAAACTAGATCCAGTCTGCAAAAGTTTATGCTGGAATCAGGGTGGATTTGATTTAAATCATGATTTAAAGCACTAGTCAGTAAGACTAGATTTAAACTATGGTTTTCTACATTAAAATACTTTCTTGCTGGTATAATCTTAAGTGTCCCCATTTTGCAACATTGTTTCCCCCTGCCTTACCGATAGTTAGGAGATCAAATCAGTCAATTCTGAAAGAACTCAACCCTGACTGTTCCCTGGAGGGCCAGATACTGAAGCTGAAGCTCAAATACTTTGGCCACCAAATGAGAAGGGAGCACTCAGTGGAGAAGACCATGATGCTGGGAAAGACTGAAGGTAAAAGAAGAAGGGGACGGCAAAGGATGAGATGGTTAGACAATGTTATCGATGCAACGAACATGAAATTAAGCAAACTCCAGGGGATGACGGAAGACAGGAAGGCCTGTTGTGTGATGTGGTCCATGGAGTCATGAAGAGTCAGACTTGATTGTGTGACTGAACAACAACAAAGAGGAACTTCATTAAAATATTCCCAAATTGGATCTCTTTTATGGCCTGCTGCCATTAAATATGATAAACCTCAGGCTATACACACAAAGATCTCAAGACTGGTGAAGTATTCTGCTCAAAAGGCTTCACTTTCGTTTTTACTGCTTGTCCTTCTCTTCTCACACTTCGCTCCTTGTGCAGATCTATTCCACTCCAAACAATCTTCTGTTCATTGAATTTAAGAGGAAAGGGGTTGATTCTGTGTACACAAATTTGCAGAGGAACAATGGAATTATGGTATTTTCCTCAACTCTGTATGTTTATTTTATAACATTTTTGCTGCGAAGAAGAGGCATGTGATCTCTGCAGACACAAATTCACAGTTTTGAAAACTGCAAAACCAAGCATCTGTGATACAGTCTAGATAGATTTTTCCTCAAAAAG